ATAGTAGTAGTAGTAGTAGCGTAGATAGTAGTAGTAGTTGTAGTATAGTATAGTATAGTATAGTATAGTATAGTATAGTATAGTATAGTATAGTATAGTATAGTATAGTATAGTATAGTATAGTAGTAGTAGTAGTAGTAGTAGTAGTAGCAGCAGTAGTAGTAGTAGTAGTAGTAGTAGTACTAGTACTAGAACTAGTACTAGTACTAGTACTAGTAGTAGTAGTAGTAGTAGTAGTAGTAGTAGTAGTAATAGTAGGAGTAGTAGCAGTAGTAGTAGCAGTAGTAGTGGTAGTGGTAGTAGTAGTAGTAGTAGTAGTAGTAGTAGTAGCGACAGCAGCAGCAGTAGCAGCAGCAGTAGCAGCAGCAGTCGCAGTAGCAGGGGTAGCAGCAGTAACAGTAGCAGCGCAGCCGCTATCACTAGTCGTCGCTAGTACTAGGAGTTGCTAGGTACTAGTAACTAGCCTACAGTAGCCAAAACAACAATAGTACAGGCAGTAGTCGTCGTCGTCGTCGTCGTCGTGATGGTGGTTGAGGTTGCGGTCGCGGTCGTGGTTGTGGTCGTCGTTGTCGTCGATGTTCTCCCGTCGTGTCGTGGCGACGAAGAAGCAGCGGTGCGGTGTCTCGACTGGCTAGATATGGATACTTCGACTGTTTTGGAACTTTCACGGAGCTTGTGCACTACTGAGGAACCGCATGTTGGCAACCTGTTGGAGCCTGGATGACCCTGGTCCTTTGGCCTCATGAACACAACCCTCAACCACAGCTCTGCACAGTTTTCAGCGATGCGGGATCATATGGGATCATGGTTCGGTTGTACAAGAACTTTTGCGAACAAACCGCACCCATCCCTGTGGTCCAAACGGGACTGCGCGACGGGCTACAACAAACTGTCCCTGACATCTTGCATGTTGCGGCTGGTCTACAGGTTCCCTAGCTCGGTAAGAACATGTTCCTCAGATTTCGAACTTGGCTGGTTACACCCACAACCGGCAGAAGAGCTCCTTCTGGTGGCCAGCGAGTACGCATACGCCAGGCCACAGCAAAATGCGACCAAGAGCACGATGCAGTCCGCGATCGACAGGTTTCCTGGTTCCAGGACGCCAACGTCCCTGAGGGGCCCTAGCCATGAACAGCCCCGGCGAAAGCAATGCAGGTGTCTCACGCTGCGCTCACTACACCTGTGAGCTGAGATGCCAAAAGGACAAAACATCAGCCTGCCGTATACGCAGCGTCCAGAACCTCGTGGAGAAACTTGGGCCTCAGCAGCACCGGCAGAAACGCAATCAGTATTGCTACTGACATCATCCCAGTCGCTCACCACGGTGAACTATGATGCCTCACTTCCTATCCGAAACGCTCAACGCTAAACCCTTCTGCTGTCAACGTTCTCTACTTGTAATCATCAGAACAATCATCATCACCATCATCATCATCATCATCATCACAATAACAACAGTTATGATGGTGATGATGACGATAATACTGGTAACACACGTAGTAATTATGATAATCATGATGAGAATAACAATAATAGTAACACTAGTAGTAGTAGTAGTAGTAGTAGTAGTAGTAGTTGTTGTTGTTGTTGGAGGAGTAGTAGTAGTAGTAGTAGTAGTAGTAGCGGCAGCAGCAGCATAGCAGCAGCACGGTAACCGGTATCA